TACAAAATACAACGTGTTTGTCATCTTAATATCTACTTCTTGTCCAAACTCTGGATTCAATGTTCAGTGTTCCTGATCCTTAAATCTCACAACGTATTTGTTTAGCTATCTTTGCATGGACGAGATGGACTGTGAAATCTTTAATCTAAAGTTCTTGTTATCAGAAACCCGCCTTGTCCTGTTAGGCGCTATTAATGGGCTCAGTGGTACTGATTGCAGTTGGTTGCAACTCAATCGATTGTCGTCTGTTTGGTTCTTGATTCTGTATTTCTCTTCGGCAAAGTACATTCTTCGCAGCTTGCCGAAAGTCAGGGAGAAATATTATGTATATAAGAGGACTGAAGCAAGAGTTGGCAACAGGTAGAACGTCAAATACGATATAATAGAAAGACCGCCAGTCGATACAGACCCTCACGTCGTCAATAATATCAGCTCCTGGACTGACTCTGTTTAGATACGTCAATGCCAAGAAAACGTATTTTGGAAGCCAGCAACATGTGTACAGCAACACCGAGGCCAGAACCATTCGTACGGCTGATTGAGTTCGTTTTTTTCGTGCGTTTCTCTGTTGTTGGTTAAGATGGTCTTCGATGGCTTGAGGTCTGGATAGTCGTCTTATTGTAATAATACTTAGACCGAATATTAAGCAACATACAATAACAAGTGAGCAAAATTCTGCTATACCAAAAATACTGAAAGTAATCTGCTTAGTTATTTGCGGCTTATCGCAATGCACATAGGTCCGGTAAGCAGAGATTGGCATGGGAACTAACCAGCAGATTCCGAGCRCAATAATTCGTCGTTTAAMTGTATATGGCTGCGAGATTTTCAAAACATGTCTCGTTGCTCTGAATCGCTCAATGCTGATCACCAATAAAGTCATTAGATATCCTTTAAGTGAAGCTTCCGCGATCAATGTYAAAATGTGGCAGAGTACAATACTCAACGTGTCGCTCGATCTATAGTAGTGAGACATCAAGAAAATGAAAATTATCAACCAGGTAACAAGAAAAAGAGAATCTGACACGGCCATGTTGATGATCAAATGGTGCAGGTTCTTGCGTACTGTGTATTTAGCAGCGAGTATGATGACGAAAATGTTGCCAAAAATCCCCAGCACAATCATCAATGCAAAGACAGTGCGTTTTGAAATTTTCTCAAGATCAGTGTCTGGTTCCCAATACTTGCAGTAGCTGTAGATCAAACGGTTTGAGTGATTTGTGAGTGAGATGTTGAGGTCCTCCATCCTTGTGAAGTATATATGTTCTTTGTCGGTATATATCGGTGAAATAATGACACTAAGGCTGTGTTGTAAGTGATTCATATAGTTTTATCTGGTGTTTTCGGATTGGTTGAGAATGGTCTGCGCATATATATTATGTCAAGATTAATAATAATTATATCATGTGCATCCTTTGGGCATGACCGTTGCATGTCAGTCAAGATGACGCACAAAAACAAAAAGACAAAAGGTGTTGTGAATGTTTTTAGCGAAATTATTTTGAAATATTTCATATATAATAATATAAGTTTTCTTCTTTTCATCATCTGGAATTTCACCTGACAGTGTTCACATTTTCATTTTTGTCATCAAGTGAACTATTGATAGGATGAGAAGAGCAGGGAATTTCTATTGACACGAGTTGTTTTGATAGTGAAATCCATAGACATAAGCACAACGTTATAATGATTGTATTTCCGTGGTTAGGCCCGTTTACACTTGCGATTTTTGCAGTGTGATTGTCGCGAGATAATCGCCAGCCCGGCGTTTGTTTGCAGCGATGGAAATCGCCACACGAAGTTGCAGCCAGTTTTCAGGCATGTTCGAAACTCAGGCGATGGTCACGCAATGATCGCCGCGAGAATCGCTTTGCAAAAATCGCAAGTGTGAAGGGGCCTCAACTAATGCCAAAAAATCAGTCCAAAATCTTTGTTAAAAACTTATTCTCTTTAATGTTCTCTAGAAATTTTCTTAAACTTGATCAATAAAGAGTTTGTAAACTTCATGSTACAGTGAACYTGTTTTTGTTTTTAAAACTATCMCTTTTGACACACTAAAAGACCAAGACTTTCAATGATACATGTTTCGTCTATTAGACCTTTTCAATCATTGTTACGTTTAATGTTCGGTCAATAGAATGGCAT